CAAAATCAAGAAGCACAGAAATGTTGTATTGCTGCCAAAAGTAATTAATCTTCTCGCTCTATGGAAATTAATCTGATTATTTGGCCACGTGGCCCGGCAAATTTCATCTTCAATCTCATTCCTCTCGCAGGCTTGGCCACCTCGCCCACCTTCACTCTCTGCTTCAGAAACAACACAATCTTTTTCAGTGGAGACATCTGTCATTATCTCCACAGGTCCTCACACGTTCTTCTGCACTTTTAGAGTTTAGCTTGCATATCCTGCCTGGATCTACAGAAATGGCTAATAATAAACTTTTAATCATATGAAATGTTTCAAACTTTGCAAAGTTTTTTTTTTGCTTAAAGGCATAGTACACCCCAAAATGGAAATTGTCATTTACTCACCCTCATGTCATTATATACCGTATAACTTACTTTCTTCCGTGGAACAGAAAAGGTGGATTTCTGAAGAATATCTTGTCTTCTATTTTCGGTATAATGAAAGTAAATACGTTTTGGGGCTGCCAAAATGTAAAAAAAAAGCACCTTAAAATGATCATACTGTAAATGTGGTCCATATGACTCATATTGTGAAGTTATAAGGCATGAGAAAAAGCTAAAAATTAAGTTGTTATTCACTAAATTATTAGAAATGTATTTAGAATATAGCACACACATTTTCTTGACTTATTATTATTATTATTATTATTATTATTATTATTATTAGTAGTAGTAACCTCAATGGCAGCTGTGGGTATGACACATGCACCCTCCCTCCTTCCTGTCTCTGCTTCTTGCTTTCTGTTTTCACCTCAAATCACCTCTCAATGTTTCTTTCAAGGTCTGAATACAGTGTGAGCCCCTGTTCCCTTTTGTGGATGTTTTTCTTTTTCTTTTTCTTTTTCTTTTTATAAGATGTTTATTCATTCAATAATCCAGTACTTTTTATTTGCTGAAGACCTACAATCAAGGTGGTCTATAAAACCACGACTAACATTTTTATTAACCCAATCACCTGAGCTGTAATAATAATAATAATAATAATAATTAGTAGTAGTAATTATCAATAACAATAATACATTTATAATAAATTATTACATAAAATATAATAATTATAAAAATAATATTTTATGTAATAAATTATTATTATTATTATTATTATTTTACAGTAATAATTTAACAATTTATTATAATTTATTATTTTTTATTATTAGTTGCCATTTTTATTACTGGCTATTTTAGCCAAATATTAAAACATTTCTGCACATACCAAAAACTGTGGCCAGTCCATGGGTATGCTGCTTGCCAGAAAGAGTTTTTAAATTTTAGTTTTTCAATTAAATCTTTTATTTAATTGATTTTTTTAGCTGTCTATTAATTTGCTTAAATTTAACTAGCGCTGGGAGTTCCAAGAATGGTCACTTTTAGTTTATTTCTCTCTCTCTTTTTGCTCTTACAGTCTCTCTCGGTTTCTGTCTTTGGAATGTGTATTTTCAGAGCTAATTTTTATGGTAAAGGTTCTTGATTACCCATGTTACATAAGGACGATGTTTGATCCATAATGTATCTCTTATTCAAAAAACAATTAATTAAATTATCCAGGGTCACTTGTACAGCACAACAGCTCTTTCGAACAATGCTTTTCTTGGCCTCCTCTAAGCTGGCATGCCATTAAGCATTAACATTAAATGTATAGTATATCCTGCATTAAATGTATTTCACATGATACATTTGTTATGTTTGTGGAATGACTGCTGAAATAAAAGTATTTCATATTAAAACTAAATCCACTTAGCTAAATCCTACTTTACAGCAGAATATTTGCAAATATTCTGCTGTAAATCTAAAATCCATTAGATTGATATTAGATATTATCTATGTATGTAGTACTTATATGACTTCATTACAATGTTTCAGGACTAAAAGTACTTGCTACAAATATTTATTACATCCTGAAACATTGGGATCAAGTAGGCCTACATTTTATAAATACAGTTGTGTCCTCTTGCCCCTTCCTGTCTCGTCACATGATTAGCAGAGGAACAGACAGCTGTCTAACTGTGAGTGACAGACTGATCAACCTGAGTTAATCAACCGCTGTGTTTCATATACGAGTGACCTGTCAGTCAGAGCTCTGTCAGTCCATCCACTAATGAATTTGTAAAAGCAAACCCGGGGCTGGAAAGGTTTAACAGAACTAAGCTATTGTTTAATTGCCATCTGAGGACTCAGATACCATTAACAATTTCTATTAACATCTGTTTTGGCCAATCTGATCTCAAGCGGACTCTGCTAAATACAGGTTTTGTGATCCAGTGACCCCGCTTTTTAGTCTTATTTGGTGTGAAAGAGAAATGTCATGTTTCCAAGTTGAATGAAATGAGAAATGACCAACAACAGCAGCGTTAAACATTGGAGTTATTTTTTTGTGAACTGTGCAAAGCAAAGAAGTAAAGAATACAATTTTTAATTGAAAAATGTAGTCAAATATAGTCAAAACAAAAATAGTCTAAGTAAATATCTCTCAGGATCTGAGTGAGTGTGAGCAAGAAGCGGCAAAACATTGTCTGGGCTCAAAATCAAGAAGCACAGAAATGTTGTATTGCTGCCAAAAGTAATTAATCTTCTCGCTCTATGGAAATTAATCTGATTATTTGGCCACGTGGCCCGGCAAATTTCATCTTCAATCTCATTCCTCTCGCAGGCTTGGCCACCTCGCCCACCTTCACTCTCTGCTTCAGAAACAACACAATCTTTTTCAGTGGAGACATCTGTCATTATCTCCACAGGTCCTCACACGTTCTTCTGCACTTTTAGAGTTTAGCTTGCATATCCTGCCTGGATCTACAGAAATGGCTAATAATAAACTTTTAATCATATGAAATGTTTCAAACTTTGCAAAGTTTTTTTTTTGCTTAAAGGCATAGTACACCCCAAAATGGAAATTGTCATTTACTCACCCTCATGTCATTATATACCGTATAACTTACTTTCTTCCGTGGAACAGAAAAGGTGGATTTCTGAAGAATATCTTGTCTTCTATTTTCGGTATAATGAAAGTAAATACGTTTTGGGGCTGCCAAAATGTAAAAAAAAAGCACCTTAAAATGATCATACTGTAAATGTGGTCCATATGACTCATATTGTGAAGTTATAAGGCATGAGAAAAAGCTAAAAATTAAGTTGTTATTCACTAAATTATTAGAAATGTATTTAGAATATAGCACACTGACTTATTTGACTTATTATTATTATTATTATTATTATTATTATTATTATTAGTAGTAGTAGTAGTAGTAGTAGTAGTAGTAGTAGTAGTAGCATCTGTTTGTGATTGAGTACGTATGTGTACATGCTGAATTATATTTACACCACATCACCACATGGTTGTCTACTTTATTTTAAATTATGATTATTATTGTTATTATGTATTTGTATCTTTCTGATCATGGAAAAAAAAACTTTGTGTAGAGACAATGATGATGATTATTGTATTTGTGAATGAGTATGTGTACATGGGTAGATTATATTTGCACCATTTCTTATTTGTCTTATTATATTATTAAATTATTGTATATTTGAGTCTTTGTAATTGTGAAATTAATAAATGAATTAAATGAATGAATTTTATGCAATAACATTTTAGGGGAGGTCGTGCTTCGAATTAAAAGGTTAAAGAATGCGTTGGGAAAGCCTGTGTCAAAACCCCCTCACCCTCAAAACAGTGTGCGCAGTGAGATAGCAGACCTGCTCAATGGAATCACCCACAGTACCATCATGTCACAAATACAGCATCAAATGTCATCATCTACATCAGGGCTTTCAAACACAATTCCTGGAGGGCCGGAGCCCTGCAGAGTTTTGTTCCAACCCTGCTCCAAAACACATACCATGTAGTTTTCAAATAAGCCTGAAGTACTTGATTAGTTGGATCAGGTGTGTTTTATTAGGGTTGAATCTAAACTCTGCACTGCCCCGGCCCTCCAGGAATTGAGTTTGACACCCCTGATGACATCTGATGCTGTATTTGTGACATGATGGTACTGTAGGTGATTCCATTGAGCAGGTCTGCTATCTCACGGTGCACACCATGTTGAGGGTGAGGGGGTCGACACACGCTTTCCCAATGCATTCTTTAACCTTTTAACCGTGTTACACACCCCTAACAAAGTTATTATGAATGTGAGCGACCAGTGCAGATGACTGAGTTGTTCGTGAGCACTGATTCATGGCATGAGTAGTGTAACTGTGTGACAAGGGGTTTAATTCATGCTCACACTCACACACACATGAAGTACATGTCACTGTGGGGTGAAATCGTGTCACAGATGCCCCGTATTAGTTCACACCTTAAACACTTTGCAAATGAATGTAACTGACACACTGTCCCAGTTTACTGATTAAGTAGCATGTGTGCCTCTGTTTATTATGCACCAGGCCCCAGGAGTTTGATAGGTCGCAGTTTAGATGGGTCAGGACTAACTTCATTCAAGTAGATCTATCAGACATGTGGGTTTCATTTTATTGCATGTTTTTACCTGAATGGCGCATACACTCTTGCATTACAACATTACTACTGAAAATGTATTAATTAATAATAATAATAATAATAATAACAATAATAATAATTTAATTAATGATTGTCTATTATTTTGAAAAAAAAAGCAAATTTTATTGTTGTTGTTTATTTACTTACTTATCTACCTAACCTTTACCATTTTGTGTGTAATGTGCATAAAACTGTGACTGGTCCATTGGTGTGTTGGCAAAAAAGGTTACAATTTTTAAAATAAAATAAAATAATAAAAAAAAAATAAAAAAATAAAAATAAAATAAAATACTATTTCTATTTGTGCATTTAAAATGCATCAAATTGCTGCAGGCCCATGGGTGTGTTGGCAAAATAAATGTTTTTGCTTAATTGATTTGTTTACGATTTATTTAACTGGTTCATTCTCTTTCTAGAATTGTGGTTATAACTATATGCTTTCTGTTTTTATTTTTTGCTTGCCTGTGCAGACTAGTCCCATTTGGCTGCTCAAGAAATTACTGGAAGACCCAGAATGTCTTACGGATCCATTGATGCGGGCTCTTTTGGAAGCAGAAATCCATTTGGTGGGCCCACAAGGCAGGGATACCAGCCAGTAGGTAAAGAACCATTTTTTTTTACACTCACAGACAGAAGTTCTCTCTATTAATCACCAGGCATTGTTGAAAAAAATGTTATAAATCATTCGACAGCGACAAAGATTTTGGTCCCTCCTCATTTACTAAGGCACGACATTATGCATTTATTCCCTCTCCATAAATCATCATGGGATTAATAAGCCATATGGCTAATTTAGTAACTAATTTCTGCCTCGTCGGAGTTCTGATGTGTTTAGTTACAAGTAATACGCATCTTGTATTAAACATTGTCTTCGATAGGTATAATACAATGTCATGGTAGCAGAAGAGCTTGTTAGATCAGTCAAAATGTTTGAGCATTTCGCCAGCTCAGTTAAATCCACAAAAAAGAGTTGCAGCTGAAAATATTACATTCCCAAATTAAATATGGAGAACTCTTCTGTTATGGACAGAGTAAAACCACAAGCCTTAACATGTTAGTGAATGCCAGGTTTTAATATATACACAGGACCTTAACTGACTTACAAAGAGTTTCTAGAATCTGATTAATATCAGAGCAGCATAACCAAGTACATATTGGCTGACTTTTTTATTTTTAGGTAATTCTGTACTCACATAATCTGGGTTAACCTTTCATTGACGCACTTCAGCCATAAACGTAAAACTAAATGTAACAAGCAAGGAAGGAAAACTAAGCATAATGTAAAGGTGTTGTTTACTTTTACTCACACTTTCCCTAACTACTGTGACTAGCAAGTAATAGCTTACTTGCCTACTATATAGCTTACTAAGTCATTTGCTTACTAAGCTTACTAAGTCATTAGCTTACTAAGTCATTTGCTAGCACTCATGTCATTTCAATTGCTTTCCACGTTCTTCCGTGGAGCACAAAAGATACATTTTAATTATAACTAAACATATTCAAGTCTTCGTGTTCTTGAATAGATAGATAGATAGATAGATAGATAGATAGATAGATAGACAATATTACTGTTTTTGCTATATTTTTTATTTTAAACGATGCATATGTGGTGATCAAAAATCTTACAGATCCCAAACATTTGAACACACACACACACACACACACACACACACACACACACACACACACACACACA